TTATATTTATTATTACTATTTTTTGAGAGCACTTTGGTAACATTAAATGCACCGAATAAGTTGTCCTTTAAATTTATTATTTAGCGCACAATACAAATTTATATCATTTTTAATTAATACCTTTTTAGTTTTATATAATTTGTATATTTAAAAATTAGTGAAATATTTTTCGAGCACTTTAGTTAATTATGCACCAATGTTATATTCTCTTATTTCTATTTTTAGTTTGATCACAATTTCACTATATATTTGATTCTTTTATATTTGATTTTCATTTTGTATAGACGCACTTACTTTCTCCGTCAACTGTAGAACTATATATACATCGCATAATTTAACTGTATTATATTATTATTGTTAAAAAACAAAACATATACCTATTAGCAAGTATTATATAAATATATATAAAATTGTAATATTAAACAAATTATTCACAATTAAACAACTATGTATTAATAAAATGTGAAAATTTTCTAACTAAAGAGTCAATTCTTATACCGTAATTTGTACAGAGCAGCGAATATTATATAATTATATATTTACTAATATCTATACATTAATATTATTTAGAGCCTAATTGAAATCGGATAAATTTTAATTGTTATGTGTGTTGTTGGACAATGACTATAAGCTAATGAAAACAACAAATAACAAATAACTGCTTGTGAAAGCGACAATAAATAGTTAAATAAGCTTTGTTAATATATATAAATATATCTATATAATGAAACACATGTATTCATTTATGATTTAAGTGTTCACTTAATTTAAATGTAGGCTGAAATTTCGATGCTTTTACTCAAAAATTGGCAGCAAAGGCAAAAACAATATAAACGTTCGGCCATTGGGGCGTATGTGTAATATTAGCATTAATCGAAATCAAAATCAGAACCTGTATATATAAATGCATATATGAAATGCGCTCAAAACTATTGTAGTTATTATTAAATACATATTCATATAAATCTCCGTATGTATATGTGTGTCTCTAGAAGTTACAAAGTTCTTGACAGGAGAGATGAATATAAACGAGGCTCTCGATTGTCATTAGCTCACTTAACTATACATATGTAAACTGGAATGATATTATTTGCAAGTCTATAGTTTGATTTCCATTTATTTTGAGAGACAAGAAAAGCTCTCAAGGCTGTGTGGACAATAATAACAAATATGTTAACAAAAACGCCACAGTGTTTATTGTTTTACCAAAAACATTTCTATAGATGTATGAAGCTCTAGCTAAAAACCTCTTACGAAATACTTGTTGAACATTTGACCCAACTGTCTGAATGCATATATATATATATATGTATATATATTTATATGTGCAATATAACTAGCTAAATGCCATCATTAAATGCTTTTGTGAGTAATTTAAGTGTACATAAAAAATAAAATTCATATTTAAATAGTAACAAAATATAATAATAAAAAAAGAAATCATAAACTGGCGAATCGGAGCACAAACTGCAATGAATATCATTTAAAGCCCATTAACCGGTTATAACTAGGGTACTACGACTATGACTAAATACAAATATATTATAATAAACTCATATATTACATATAGACGCACAATTAACACAAATTTAACTTACCCAAGCAAGCTGCGGCAAGTCGTGCTTCAAATATTCTTTTCAAAGAATAAAATGTTTGAAAAGTCTATTTCGTCTATAATCGATATATTCGTGCTATGTATATATATTTTAAATTAAAATTAACAAGTAAGAAAGCTCTAGTCGAGACTGCTCGACTACGAGATCCCCTGAACCCTTGGAGCAATAGATATTTCAATAATTTTTCGCGTCTTTCAGCTTACACAAGAAACACGCACACACACACACACAGGCACGTACGCACACACAGGCATACATACACACACACGCATACAGACACACATACACACACACACACGCATACATACACAAACGCATACACACACACATACACATACACACACACATACACAAACACATACACACACA